TTCGCCTATCAACCGACCAAAATGTAGATCCTGTGGATATCACCATGGAAACCGCCAGGGCCCTGCCCTGCAAACGTGCCACAAGTGTGGACAGAAAAATCACTTTCAATCAAAGTGCTGCTCAACCAACCCAAAGGTAAACAATGTAGAAGAAGTACCTGAAGAAGTTTTTCGTATAAGTCAAGTGGGAACTGGAACATGGGCTTTAATTACTATGGAAGTCGGCATGCAAAACAGTCAAAGTAAAGTGACATTCCAGCTGGACACAGGTGCGGAATGCAACCTCCTCTCCCTGAAAGATTATCGACGTGTCATGGCTGATGAGGATTTAACGCAACTCAAACGCTGCTCACACAAGTTTATTAAAACTTACAGCAATGAACGGTACAAAATATTGGGGTCGACAGAACTCCCTACATGGTGCCATGGGAAAAGAAATGTGTTGCAATTCAACATTACAGAAAACGACCTTGCCCCACTCTTATCATACAGCACATGTATTGGACTGGGACTCGTCACAATTAATGACTGTGACAGCCCATCAAACTCCAGTGGCGGGCTCAAGGATACCCCAGGTGTACATGTAACAACCGGGATGGCTGACCTTCTGGAGGGATACAAGGATGTCTTTGAAGGCTTGGGTGATCTCCCAGGCGAGTACCACATTGTCACCGATGACAGTGTTCCACCGGTGGTACACCCGCCCCGTCGTGTACCAGTCGCTCTACGAAACCAAATCAAGGAGAAACTTGATGAGATGGTCGCCAGCGGTATTCTTGCACCCGCAACTGAACCAACCGAGTGGGTTTCCAGTATGTTGGTCATTGTCAAGCCCAACAAGCTACGCATATGTCTGGATCCACGTGATTTGAACAAAGCCATCCGTCGCGAACATTACCAGGTGCCAACAGTGCAGGAAGTCTCGACCCGCCTTTCACAAGCAAAGAAGTTCACTGTCGTAGATGCCAAGGATGGTTTTTGGCAGGAACGTCTTGACACTGACTCTAGCTACAAGACCACCTTTAACCATTCGGGCGTTACAGATGGAAGAGGATGCCAGTTGGCATCTCTTCAGCCCCTGAAGTCTGGCAACGTACAATGCATGAGTTTGTTCAAGACCTTGAAGGAGTGGAAGTGATCGCAGACGACTTCTTGATCACAGGATTTGGCAGTATTGACCGTGAAGTAAACCAGAGTCTTAAAAGAAATGAGCGAGCCTTTCTTGAGAAATACTGTCTGTGAAACTTGAAGTTGAACCGTGCGAAAGTGAAACGGCACCAGACAAGTGTGAAATTCATGGGTCATCTCCTCACCTCTCAGGGGCTCATGCCTGATCCTGAGAAGATTCAGGCCATACTGCAGATGCCTGAACCGGACGATCTTACAGCATTGAAGCGATTCCTGGGGATGGTGACGTATCTTGCAAAGTTTATGCCCCACCTATCACAGATGACAGAGCCACTTAGACGTCTGGAGGACAAGAATGTGGAGTTCCAGTGGTTAGAACAGCACTCCATTGCAATGAACACGATCAAGAAGTTCCTGACAGAGGCACCCGTTCTTTGCTATTATGACGTAAGCAAGCCAGTCATTGTACAATGTGATGCTAGCCAGTCTGGCTTAGGAGCAGTATTGCTGCAGGAAGGCCACCCTGTCTGTTATGCCTCCCGCGCTCTCATCAATACAGAGTCTCGATACGCGCAGATAGAAAAAGAGATGCTCGCCATCACTTGGGCGTGTGACAAGTTCGACCAGTACCTCTATGGACGTGACACAGTCACTGTCGAGACTGACCATGAGCCATTGAAGTCTGTGTTCAAAAAAGAAATTCACAAGTCACCCAAGCGCCTGCAGCGAATGCATCTGGCCCTACAAAAGTACAACCTTGAGGTACAATACAAGAAAGGTCCACTAATGTACATTGCAGATGCCTTGAGTCGTGCATATTTTAAGACCACTGATGGAGCCCAGACCGAGTTCTGTGAGATACGTGCACTCGAGATGGTGAATCACGAAGAACGTATTCAAGTTGAACCTCCGAAACGAGATGAGTTCCGACAGCGAGTCACTGAAGACGCTGATATCCAGGAACTTGTTTGTGTGATCAAGCAAGGCTGGCCCAACGAGAAAAAGTGCCCTCCTGCTGTTCAGCCATATTATGACGAGCAAGGCGAGTTGATAGAGTCAGAGGGTTTAGTGTTCCGTGGAGAATGGCTTGTAGTGCCCCTTTCACTTCGTAAGGACATGCTAAACCAGCTTCACAGCAGTCACATCGGCATTGGAGGATGTATTCGCCGTGCCCGTGAAATATTGTATTGGCCATGAATGAGCACTGAGATCAGAGACTTTGTCTCACGTTATACAATCTGCCAAACATACAGACCAGAACAGGTGCGTGAAGAGCTTCAACCACATGAGCTGCCTTCACGACCTTGGCAAAAGATAGCTGCTGATCTGTTTCACCTTGGCCAGCAGACATTTCTGATAATGGTGGATTACTGGTCCAATTTCTTTGAAGTCGTTGAGATCCACAAGAAGACAGCACAAGCTGTTATTACTCAACTTAAGGTGCAGTTTGCTCGCCATGGTATTCTGGAGGTACTGATTACGGATAATGGTCCAGAATTCGACAATCAGGAGTTCAAGAATTTCTCCTCCCAATGGCAGTTTGAGCAGCGAACGTCTAGTCCAAGGTATCCACAGTCAAATGGAAAAGTGGAAAACGCCGTGAAAACCTGCAAAGGACTGCTCATGAAAGCTAAGGAGGACAAGAAAGACCCACTATTAGCGATTCTTGATTGGCGAAACAACCCAAGTGAGGGATTCAGCACCTCACCAGCTCAGAGGCTAATGGGTCGACGCACCCGCACTTTGCTACCAACAGCCGAAAAACTCCTCCAGCCAAACAGTGACCTGACGACCACAGTGAGTAACCTAGCAGCTAGGAAAAGATTACAGTGCAAGCAGTACTATAGAGGCACCAAGAACCTTGCCCCCTTAAAAGCAGGCAATTCCATCCGCATGAAAAAACCCGGGGCGCAGAAATGGAGCTTAGGCCGACGGTCATATGAAGTCGAGGTGGATGGACGGCGCTTCCGCAGAAACCACCGTCAACTGCCGTCTACTCTGGAGCCACCACCAGAACCAAGCAGCCAGATTGAAGAGCCTCATCAGACTGAGAATGAAATCAGACCACCTGTCTTACCAGAGTCCCTGCAAGACCAAAACCAAACCCATCCTACCCCAGAGATCCAAGTGAATGACCCAATGTCCCCAGCACAGTCTGTCGCGGACAATGCAGAGCCCATCCCAGCTTCCAAGCCCAGGCGTTCCGAGAGAGCCAGACGCACCCCTGTCTGGCTTGAAGATTACGACTTACGTTGAACACTTGATCAGTGACTAGAACTTGCCTTTAGTTCATTGTACCAGTTTTTTTTGTTGTTATTGTTCTGGCTAATTTTGTAACGGGGAGGGATGTGACGTGACAAGCGTGACTATGATCATGTGATCGGTCAGTCACGTGGTCAGCGGTACCTCGTGCTACCGCATCTCGGGCAAGAGCAGAATCGATCGCTCGGACATTAAAAGCTTCATTGTTGTATTCAAGCTAAAACTGTGGTTTATTTCCTTCACATCTCAACACACGTTGGTAATTTATTACTACTGACTTGTATGCAATCATTCCGGTCCCTCCTTTTTGCCCTAATTGAGAACAAGGTACTGTTAATGTTGGCTTAGGGAAGAGGTAGATGGAAAGCTTACCAAAAAGGCATAATGATCTGAACACCCCCTCCCCTCCGCTCCAAAAAGATGGTTGGATACAATTAACACTTCTCTGGTATTTAATCGAAAAATGACACTGATAACCAACTAGATTTTTTTATTGGAGGAACAATATATCTTTTTGCACTGTATACTGAAGTTATGCATAAACATGATCCTCTTAATTTCAAATGTAAATACTGTTAAATTAACCTGCTCAACATACAAATGGCTCAGTTTCACTTAAAAAAGTTAAGTAACTTGAAACGCTTTTATTTGAAAACTATAAGGAAATCTTAGTATGCTTAATTAGTAGAGGGGACCAGCTAAGTTGTAATCCAAACAGGCTGCTGACAGCTTCAGCCTGCAGTTTCGTTGCTACGTAGTGGCATATTTGCCACAACAATTAGGTGTCAATGACAAGAAATCGAAATCACAAAAATTCAGGCCTTTATAGCCTGCCGGGGTGTCTCGTTATCATGCCTCTACAACACATTAAGACAAGTGAGTACTGGATTTCTCAACTAAATAAGCAAATATTAAAAATACTAATAAAAGCTATAATCTTTAAATCTTTTATAATTTGTCTCATCCAGGACTACATTAAAATGGTTGTAAAAGATGGTTAACATAAACTCGTTGGGTTTGTGGATCTTGGGTAGATGCATGATGCGTTTGCGAAATTGTCAGGTACTGTAATAATTAAATACATATTGTCTCTGTTCTGTTTGTGTTGTGTCACTGATCAGGAGCACTAAATGACTGTCACAGTAGGTTGTTTGGTATTAAATTTTTAATTAACAATTAGACTTGAAATTTAGGATATTCAATTGTTTGATCTTCAGGTCAAAGCAGGGAACCAAGACTTGCTGCTCATGCTCATTCTTCAATTCATGTTCTTGAGTGATGGTGGATTCAGACTTCCAATTGCCCAGTTCCCATCCAGTTTATGTACAGCTACAGATCTTTTCCACATTCTCTGGGTATGTTAGAAACTGGCTTCCATGTGTATTGGTCATCCTTGATGGTGCTAATGTAACAGACAATTGTAAAACTGCACTTTAAATGAGAAGATGAAGCCATGGAAAAAAATATTTGCATCCCAGAACCTGTACACAGTGGAACCTTTTGTCTTCATGATGGATTCAAAGGTAGATAAAGTAAAAAATGAAATGACAGGATTGAATCTGACATCAGCAGTTTTATGCCAAAAAAGTCCTCACATAAAATGTTCCTAT